CACCAGGCCTATATAAAATGCATAAAACGCGTTTTTCTATAAAATATAAAATAGTTATCTTTTGAGTTACAATACACGAAATATGAAACTTCTTCATTAAGACAAGAGCTTGTTTTATTCACTCATAGGCTAGAACCCAACAAGTCTAGTTATCCCCTACAGCAGCAGCTAATGAATTTTCTTTCGGGTTGGAGAGAATTTGCTTAGGTATCTATCTGACAAAAACATTCAGACTCAAAGTACAGAAGTTAAACAAAAACATTTATTAAACTAAGCTGTGGCATTCGTCTCTAGATTTCAGTCGATAATTACGATTATCATGCATGAAAATATTGCTGTCCGACCGAGTTCTCGGTGCCTTCTATTGTTCTGAAGGTAATGAGCTCGTTATACTTCAATAACTAAAAACTATAAACCACAGAACTAAGTGAATCTATGTGAACTAAGTCATACAGTTAAGTCAACAGATAATGAACCTCTGTGAAATTAGATGCGCACTACAGTTACTAAGACAGAAGATCACTTTGTGAACCTATTGTGTACTTATGGCTAATTGCCACTGTTCCTAGTTTTGAACGGAATGAAGGCAGCCATTAAGCACCATACACATTAAAGAACTGAATGTTACTCTTACAAAGTTTCCATAGCCCAGAGCTTAAAGTGCGGAGAATGTATTGTGGTATCACATAGATTCGAACCTGGATCAGCTAGTCCCGAAATATAAGCTCCATCCTACGGTAAACTTGCGTCCATAAGTAAACCAAACCATGTACACAATATCCAAGTCTACAGATAATGTAAGCTAAATGACGAAAGTTATACAAAGAAACACCTACACGGTATTCATGGAAAGTCATGGCAACAGACAACACGAATGCCTTTTGCGCAACAATATTCATATGAGTATAAACTACGAATTAGTCTTTAATAATAATATATGTGCGAAGCAATTAATGTTGCACACAAATGGTAATGCTATATAGAAAACTGTGAAACATCTCCTGGATAATTCTTTTTTGATGATACATACATAGTTAACGGCAAATAAAACTATTTTTTCCTTAACAGTTACAAATACTTTACGTTTGTTGTTTTAAGATGCCAGATGAATGAATTGACTAACATAGAATCAATAAAGCTCAGTATTATTAAAATGTATGTCAGTCTATATTTATGTTATTAGCAGGGTGTTTGATGCGAGTTCAAGTACGTAACATTTTAACGTATATCAGTTGCTTATATCTGTTAATAAGATATTTAAGCTGTATACCCTGTTATTAACGATACGGAATTCAAGGAATACTGATAACTTAGATCATTTTTGAAGCCCTTATCGCTAACGTTATTTTTAAAAGAGTTGATCAGGTTATTCATTACGAGGTTGAAATTACAGCCTCTTTTAACTTGAAGTACATTAAATGCCCGTTTATAAGCAACCTACTGATATTATGATAACGTACAGGCAGTAGCACTCTTAGGTATGTAACAAGATGGAAAAAAAAATCACCGCGGGCAGCACACCAGCTACCTCTACGTAATTACAGCGAAATAATGAGAAAAGTAAAATATGATGAACAAAGGCGTTGCTCTAAATTTACCATACATGTATTGTTAACATCATAATAAAGCTTCAGTAACAAGTTTTCTGTACTGTTTCCGAATGAAGGACTAGATACATATTTGATAACTCTGAAATACGGGTGATCTAAAAATTATATTAACATTTATTTTTGAATATGACGAAACTCTTGTCACGCTGTCGTGGTACGTCATGCATGCTGCAATGTACCGCTTAAGTCTACTAGAAACTTTAGCAGTTCAATGGCTTCTATTCTGGAACACGAGTAAACAAATTGGTTAACAAATTTTCGAATATTCAGTATACAGAAGAAGATACACCAAGCTTAAATGGTAATAATGGTATTAGTGATTACAAACAAAAGTACCCATCCCCAATGACGGGAAAAACTTAAGTTAATCTACCAATTTAAATTATTTCATGGACTTTAAAAGGGTTAATTGTGTTGAACTCTTGGTTTCACTCTGAGCCAAAGCTCAGAGTTATTTATACTGCCCACCGCGGAAATTAATTGTTGAGCATTTCAGTCATGCCAAGAGCAGCTCAACAAAACATATGATAAATCTAAATTTTCCTTATTTAAGTTACGTCACATTTTAAAATCTGAATGATAGTGTGATTAATTGATAACAGTTTAGTGTAGAATATCCTTCCTGCGAGATAAAATTTGGCATCAACATTATTGTTCTCCCGTCATTTCAAAAGTGAATGTTGAGTTTTGCCTGCGTGCGCAGCTTTTCAAACGAGAGACAGATGAACGCTCGGACAGACAGCACAGTTTGCAATATATATAAAATTATCCACTTCAGTGCTGTATTATCTCTTTAACTATACACGCATTTTAACCTGTTAAAATCTGTTAGCGCATAAAGAGATAAAAGCTGAATTAATAACAACAAAATACTAAAAAATGTTTTAAAAAACATACTAATTCATATTTTGAGCATTTAAAGTTCGGTATATGAAAGAAAAATCAAACTATTCTGCATGTGCTATTAAATAATTCAGTATTCATTAGTCCGTGAAAACTCTTTCGGTTGTCACTACTGGTTAAAAACATCTATTGTTTTTAATACCATTTTCTTTTTGTCTAAACCTGAACACAATGACAAATCCAAATATATGTATTCCGTGTTAATCATAATTTTAATACAAACACACTGAAGACATTACTCCATCCTCCAACCACCATTAAAAGTGGTACTATGAGTTATCTATTTTATGCAGAAAAGCCATTGAACAAGAAAATAACGTGAAATATAATTTACACATAGGGAAAATATGATGTACATAAACAGTTCCAGTGACATCTTATCATATAATTATAACTGGCCGCGACACGCAAGACATTTACGGTAGTTTTCATACCCTTCGCTTGAATTTTCCTTATTCTATAATATTCACGCACAGCACTTAAGCCAGTGCTGAAACCAGACCTTTCCACCGGGGTGGGGTGTAAAGCTGGGAGGAGGAATGAATTAAAATTAAAATTCGATACAACTGAAAATACTGTACTTCAGGAGGGTTTTTTTTTTTTTTTTTTTGCACAGGGGGAATTCCCTCTGTACACCCCTGAATTCAACATTGATTTAAGCAACGCTTTCTTGCAGGTATTTATGTATTACATCGATAAATCCTGGTCTATTTGAAAACATTTTACGCGGTCAAACAAACAAACTCGCGTGGACGTAACGTTATTTAATAAAACTACACGTAAGGTAAACTATAAAGTAAAGTATTTATAATAGTGAACAGAGTATGAAACAAAGAAACTCACAAAAACGAAGAATAAAACCTGTAGTAAAGAAAAAAACTTGCTAACAGGTGTTTATATCGGTCTATGAAACGAACCAAATCTAAATTATTGTAAAGTAAATGAAGGCAAACTTAGCTGATTATGCAGAAACGTCTAAATGAGTGTTCACAAAGTGATAAGCATATAGTTTTGTACAAACTGCACATGCGTATTTTAGACCTAAATACGACGAGAAAGCCCATAGAAACTGTATTTAGTGTGATGTCCCTTTTGTTTTAGAAAATTATACGCGGGTTTAGTGTTGTTTGTGTGCAACACTTTGCAAATAAAAAGCCCCCCCCCCCCCAGTGGCACAGCGGCATGTCTGGGCAGAGCACAGATAGCCCATTGTGTAGCTTTGTGCTTACTTATAAATAAACAATAAGCAAATAAAAAACTCAAGTTAAAATCGAAACCAGTCAAAGCCAGTCATCACGTGATGACAACGACATCGTGTCATAGTGTACCATACTCGTTAAATTAAAAAGTTTGGCAAAGCAAAAGACAGGTAAGGCAATTCTGAATTGAAAAACCAATTTGTAATCCGGACCCCTTATACAAAGGCCTTTCTAATGATATGAGATTTGTATCGTTTGATCGAGAAACGTGCGAGAAAATTTCCAGTCAGACAAACGCAAGCGTATTATTTATATAGATAAAATTACTGAATTTTATAAAAAAAAAAATATACAAGCTATTTTTCAGGAAATTATTGTAACCTCAGAACATTTCGTTTTCCTGCTTCTGCAATTCATGGAATGCGACTTGTATAGCGGACATAACTTTTCACCAATTTTATGTACCATCTCTAACTGTGACAGAAAAGCCCTGATAAATAAAGGTTATAGAATTTCTGTAAGTGATTGGGGGAACGAAATATAAGCACTGGTGATACCACATTTTTCAAGGAATATTTTAGGAAAATACAAGATGTGGCGCTACGAAAATGTTAAAGTTTTAATAATACAAATAACAACTGTCTGTTATATCCCAGCCGGCTTGATGAGCCCAGGTATCAGACGAAAGGCTTCATCGGCATTGGATATAGCAGATGTAGTATCGTTGACATACTGTTATACATTCTTCTTTATTTACTTATAAGTTCTTAGAATTGATAAACGAATGCCCTGTAGGCGATAGAATAGTAAATATCAACATCCATAGTTCATTGTGACTAGTATAACATCTTGCTTGAATATTCTCATTAATAAGTGGGTTGGGAGAAAACTATGCGAACAATAATTATATGTTTGTTGTAATTATTGTAATATTTTTTAAATAATATATATATTCTTGGTAGCATCATAACATCCTTTCAATCATAACCACACTTCTAAAAACTACGTTGTGTCTTTTTCATAACCATATCTCCACATAATTACAATATAGATAGTTATCATGACGTTTTTTACATTAATAATTATACCACTAATTATTCATAACAACACTAACTGAACAATAATTATGCTTCTAATTTATTTGTACAAAACATTTACTAATTAATCCTTTTTATCAAATTATTAACAAATAATTTTGTACCATTTACACTGGTCTATATTTCATTCCAGTTACACACTTTACACCCAACACTATCATCCTGTTTTGAGTACCATAACACCATCTTACCTCGCATATTTCTCCTTATCTTGCATGTTGTCGTCCTCCATAGGTGTATACTTGGGGCCTTGGCTGTCTTCTTCATCCGAGCTATAGAGAGATTGCAGGAACAAACCAATAATTCCCATCTCCAGATCCCCTTAACAAATTCGTATTTTAATACGCTGTAAAATCTTAAACCTACAATACTTTTCACAACAGTTATTCATACCAAGCAGCACCCATAGTAAATATAACAGACGACGTGACTTCAGATGCAAGATGGGTAAAACCGAGAGTTTTATTACAGAACAGTTATGTAAACCTATACAGTAACAAGCTCTAAAACTACTCTGACATTGTATAAATCTTGTGATTGGTCAACTTCAACGTATCACAGTCCAATAATTTTATGTGGTCGTTCTAAATAACATGTATGCCATTCTTAAATATGTTCCAAAATAAATACACTTCTCTTTCGATCAATATAACCCTACAACCTATAATGAAAACAATCACAACTAATCTCCATGTCAAATAAATTTTCAACACATACACAAAATTTAATGATAGATTTACTGTCCGTTTCTAAGAGATAAACATTTAAATTTGTTTTTTAAATAAAATATCTATTTAGATATATATTCTTACGATGATTACTAATTAGTATATATAATTTTGATAAGGTTGTATGTACATACAATAATCAAATTGCGATTAGGCTTAGCGATAACCATTCAATATAAATAAGCTACTTCTACAGCTGAAAATTTTAAATGGCTATAATAGTCGCCGATAGATTTTTTTTTTGCAAGAAACCAAAGAGGGAAGATCTGATCATGATCAATACATTCATGCTCATAATTCTTTAACAGCAGGTATATTAATTTGCTAAATTTTTAACTTCGAAATGATATATATATATATTTAAAGCTTTAAAAATAACAATATTTTAATAAGACATGGTCGGCTTAATGAATTCAATAATGAAATGTTGAAAATTGATCAGATGAGCTGAGACTTAACAGGTGGTTTTTAAAAGAGAAGAAACGGAAGTTGATCTAACGTAAAAATATAATAGTAACTCATGAAGTTAACTGTTTAATCATTTTCGGTGTCTTATAACTACATTTATAATAATAAAAAAAGCTCGGTAACAAAAACAAGCCTGATCTTTACCAAATATTATTTCGGAGTTTTTCACTACAAATGTTAGAAACTACTTACCATGATACCTGAGAAATTACAGTAGTAAATAAAACAATGTATCTTTAAATGTCTCAAACAAATTAAAATATAACCTAAATGTCACTGAAAACTGTTGACACTTTCTCTACAGAGCTCAGCTCAAGTAACTGTTTAAACTAGAAACCAAAACTTAAAAAAATGAAATAATGCTGCTGTAAAAGGGCTGTACATTCTTAAGTAATTTGCGATAATTTTATTATGTAGCGAAACATATATTTAAGGACTTAACAAGACTTCTAAAAGACCACCTCAGCAGGATATTATTTACTATGCCGTATCTCAAGTAATCATATGTATTTATTTTTTAAAAACTGGTTTCAACATGAATGTGCTCATGATTATTTGTCTTCTTAGTTTTATATGAAACTTCAGAAGGGTGTGTGTGTGTGTGTTTTCGTATAGCAGAGCCACATCGCGCTATCTGCTGTGTCCACCGAGGGAAATCGAACCCCTGATTCTAGCGTTGTAAATACCGAGACTTATCGCTGTCTCACTGGGGGACAATTTTATAAGGAAAATATGACTTCAGATTGCATACGATATGACATAGGTCAGTACTGAGAAAACGTGTATTCTAAGTTTGAATACAACTTCACTTACAAGTTTTGAAAAGCTGAAGAAAACATCGATATAGATCCACTATATAATACAGTGAATGGATTTCGTGAAAACGAACTAAAGAACACGTTTTTAACGATTTCCACGACACCACTGTTCGTTTCTATGATTTCACAAAAGTTTGCTTGTTGTTAAGTACAAAGCTACACAATGGGCTATCTGTGATGTGCACATTACGGGTATCGAAACTCGGTTTTTTAGCGTTATAAATCTTCAGACCTGCCACTGTTGCACATAAGGCTTTGTTTATTTGTTGTTAAGCGCAATGCTACACAATGAACTATGTGTCTTATAGCCATCGCGAGTATCGAAATCTGATATTTTTGTCGTTATAAGTCCTCAGGCTTTTCGATGAGCCAGTTGGGGGGGGGGGGGGCAATTTCACATAAAAAAGCAATAACATGTAAAACATTTATAACCCTTATCATTCACATTCATACTGTTAACCGATATCTAGTTACCCATTGCAATCAACACAGCAAACAATTATAATAATTTATAGCAATACAGTTAAGTGTTATGGGTTTGATGAGTTTTAAACAAAAATCACTAAGTAGGAAGAACTGGTTAGCTGCCATTTGCCTAATACAATAAGAACAGAATCGGGGTCACTTTGTGCACATATTTTAAAATTATTGTAACAGAGGGACAAAGGAAAATAAAATGAAAGGTTATGACACAAATTATAGTACCATCTTTTGCAAATATAAATGACAGAAGCTTTTATGTAAGACATATTTTTAAGAGGAAAATATATAGTATATAGAAACTTTCGTAATTATTGATGGCTGTGGCATCTATTGTATAAGTATAAAGGCAGAAAAAATTAAGGATAATACACCTCACATAAAGAAAACTTATATTAGGAAAAACAGAGTACAGCACAACAACTGTTGTATAAAATGAATACAAAAATTTGCTTCTTTAAGAATTTTTGTGTAAGGTCTATAATTTTGAACTGATGGAGAGAAAGCAGCTGGTCAACAGACATCACCACCAATTTGTGAGCTATTCTTGTCTGACCGAATAGTGATAATTCAACGTTACTCTCATACCACACTCACAGGCCCAAAGTGCGTTTTGGGGACAACGAGACACAAACCATGGACTCTCGTTTCCACTGTCACGCCCCCACCCAAAACAATGTTATAAACCATAAAATTGAAGAGCGTAGCTTCGTTGCTGTATAAATATAATAACGAGCACTAGGTGGAACAAACTAGCGTTTAGTTTGATTTAACATTTTGAGACGATTTCTGAGTAAAAGTAAAAGATATATATATATATAAAATTGATACCGATCGCATCGACATCAATACGTCACACAGCAAGTATCCTACTATAAAGATGTTCCATTATGTGTGTTAGCATCCATCACCCAGTGTTGGATGGTTTGATTACCGTAATTGGAAACTATCCAATGGTGTACACGGACTCCTTTGTTTTACGATTTTTGTCGAGAATGGAAATAAAGAGCTCTTGGAATATAGCATATTTTCATATTTTTAATAGACTTTTGGCTTGCATCATCCACATGCCTGGATTGATTATCATAGTTTTTTTCTTTGGTAACTGTCCGCCGGTGTACATGGGCAACTTTCTTTTAGGGGTTTTTACACAAGAAAATAGATTAAAAACACCCTGATATAGGACACATTTCCAATTTTTTATACCTTTACCTTTATATTTAAAGACACAATTATTTAATCAGTTAAATGAGTAAATTATTTCTTTCCACAAAGCGGGGTATGCATTTAGCATCTAATGAGGTTATTAGGGACTTAATAACAAAAGAAAGGAGGAAGGGAAGCATTATCTAAAATTGTCATGGATACAGTTTTTACTTCCTTAACGGGCATCCTTAACTAGTTGGTTTAAAACAGAAGGAAGGTCATATGTCTGTTATATAATTTATAAGTCTAATCTGCTTTACGGATTTCAAAATGTCTGTGGTGCTTACAAGAAAATAAGAACTTCATACGGGTTCTGTTTTTAGTCAGCAACAGCTGTATTCGTGTCTATTATTTCATCTTACTAGCGTATCTTCAATCGATGATGACTATAAACATTCTTCTTAAATACATTCACATACAGTATAATTCATCTTCATTTCAACTCTGTGGGCCTTATTTCGTTCTAATTCAAGTTCATTATTTACGTATTAGGATTGCCATTACCTAACCTGTCGCATGGAGAAGTATTGGTTACAAAGACACTTGTTGGTTTAAATGAAAAGGGTCAATTATCGTTTTGCCATCGTCTTAACAGCTATCAGGGGTTCATTTAGATCTAATATAACTTTTACACCACTTGTTTCTTACTATGTTCTGCATGACCTCAACTTTTGAGAGCTTAAGTGAGGCCGTTTCGAATACACGAATCGACACTTTAAAACGGACTTTGTATAAGGTCATCATGACCAATGAGAAAAAAGTGCAGAAACTACAGAATAAATCTACATTCTAAGTACACGAAGAAGTAATAACTAAAATTTTATAATTAATTTTTATAGCTTGCTCCTAAGTAAGAGTATCGTTATTTGTCATACAGAAAACACAACGTTTTATTTCACATATCTCACTGTGTATATATGCCCCGCGTTCTTTTTTTGTCATGAGCTTCATTTCTAATTACACGTATTTGTATATAAATTCTAAAAAGTTATTTACATTATGTACTTTTAGTAGTTAATTCCGACAAAGGGCATACGCCGAAAACGTATGCCCATAAAAGAAGTTTTTGTTATAAACGTGCGTTGTAACTTTTTTCAATATTTCTTTCAACACTCTTTTACGTCTTGCAGCTCTTTTATCTGCAGTGTTTTGCATACCATGCATGTGACCACTTCCATTATTACAAAGCTCGTGGCACATACGTAAACAATACAGAATAAATATCATTATTAAACAAAGAACTAATATTACTTATTTACTTACGGATAAACAAGTAAATAAAAACATTTATTTTTTATTCCTTTTAAACACTTTGGTTTATAAATGTTTTATTGAAAAAACGAGAGATTGAATTTCATAACTACATTCTTTGTAAGGATATTAAACCAAAGATAGGATAATAAAAAATTTTCGTGTAGGTAAAACTATATGTTCTTTTCAATAAGCTTTTCTTACTGACGAAAATGTGTCAAAATCTCAACTTGTATGATAAAGTAACTATCCTTCCAAATTGTTAAATAAAAAATATCGCTCCTAGAAACTGAATTTCAGGTCTAAGGGACAAGCATTAGA